ATGAGATTAGTCAGAAGGTTGAACTGCAGAGATGATAAAAACAGAAATATGTTCTTCTTATGACGTCAGAAAAGAAGCAAACGTCATAATCTTCTTATTAGAAAAACTATAAACTATTTAAACCAGTCCGATAAATTTAAAAAATGATTGAAAATGACCCATATGCAAAGTACAAAGGCTGGCAGTGCCTTACAAATGACTTCATGAACATCTTATCGCGGAGAAATGAGAATTGTTGGGCTATGATGGTTCTGGATCTGACTTTGGACTCGTCATGTCTCTAGATTTTCGTCGAAGAATTCCGCTGAACATCGAATGTAAACGGCTCCTTCTGCAAAGAAGGTGATTTTAAAGCACAGAATGAACCTTGGATTGAAAGTTAAACAAAACATAAACGTACCGTACGGGTGGGCTATCGGTGTTCTCCTCCATTGACAGGACATGACTACTTTCACTAGGCTCTTCGCATTCCTCGACGGTTGAAGGAACTTGTTCAGGAATTAGAGATAACCTGCAAGTAACGAACTTCATTTTCTTGGGAAAGTTTGAGTAGAACGGCCATCCAGCTGTACCTACAATAATGTAAGGATTTGAAATTACTTGACACGATCTAAGACGATTTATCGTGAACTTTTTTGAATCTGCCAGATTCTCACCCTCTCCGTCGTTGGCTGGGTTAAGGTAACTATTCGCGCTTGACATGCGTGTTCAGAAGCATATAACTATTGTGGAAAACTGCTGATGTCTCTACTATGAGATTGAAATTGTGAGGAGAGTAGTCTGAGTCAAATGCGGACTTCGCCCTTACTTCTACCCTCCATCACATGAGGCAAACGAGAGGAGAACATGTGGAAGTAGTGCGCTGTTGGTAGACTGTCACGATATCATATGGTATTGAACTTCATGACATCGGAGAGGATATAGAGAAGCGGGAGGAGTAATGATATTCTTTAAAAGCGGTGGGAATGCTGAGAACTATATTTGTCGCAACTTGTACGATTGTTGGTAGAAGTTTTTGGCCTGTACTTTTTTCGTAAGCGTGAAGCCTATTATAGCTCCTTGTGCTGTGTTCGTGACCAGCTCATAACAACTTTCCATACTGTCTATCATTCCATTGCTCCTGTTGCGTTTAGTAATTGAAGATTACCACTATCGTGTCTAATGTTGATTCTAAGCAGTACAGGACAATTTGCAGAGTTGGGCGAATGTCATTTTCAAATGCGCTAAGTGATGTCTTAAGCGAGATGAGCTGAAAGCAATTGAAATGCTGAACGGCACGAAACGAGCTTAGGAAGAACGAGGCCTCTGCTCCAATGCTACCCTTTCAACTAATACTATCACGCAAACAGTAATATATGATTAATACCAAATGCGGCTCGTCCACAACACGCTGAAGCGTTCAAAGAAAGTGACGGAGCAGAGTTTCTACTCTGGGTTTTCTACATTTTCTGAACTTGGTACGCTGAACATGACAACTTCAAATACAGTAAAACTGTCAAGAAAAGATTCCGGGCCACCTCTGGACTTAGGAGGCGCGAGGCCGCGGTGCGATCTTACATCTCCAAGTCTGGGTCCGGAAAGATCGCATGCCTTTCTCGCTAGAGAGCTCTGCTTTAAAGGAGACGAACACGGTAGGTGCTGAGAGGGAAATTGCTTAGTGGGTAGGCTGACGGCTGACCTAAACGTCCGGAGCGACTTTCTGGCTAAACATGGCGAATTGTTTGCCTGAATTTGGGCAAGCTCAGAATCAACCATCATTACTTTAGTTTTGCCCGAAAATTGCCTTTGAGAACAATCTTTCGTCAAAGTTTGTAATGTAGTTGGAATTAGAATGTAATGAAAATTGCATGAGAGGAAGCAGTGGGTAAGCCCGCATGTAGAGAAGGTTGAACCTTTTAGAAGGGCGAATGATTTAGGCTAACCCGAAGAATGTTTTATCCCACCATTCGGTGGGCACAGAGGTCTGAAGAATTGCGCCAAGTACGTTATGCCCAGACTAGTGGTGAAGCCATACTCAGGATAATTTACACCTACTTACCGGGATCTAAATCGTACGCTACTATCGATCGAG